AGATTTTGAATAAAATTATATATATATATATTGACGTTACTTATAATTTAAGTTAAAATGTACTTTTGTGTCTCATTTCTTTCTGTTTAAAAGACTCTTAAGTTAAAAGAGAGAAAAACAGGTTATAAACTGTTATATACTTGATTTTTGTAATGTTTTAAACTTAAAGAGTTGAAATATAGAAGTGCATGTTCTCTCATTATATACAATGTTGATAAGAACTAGAACCATTTATATAACTTAGGTAAATTGAAATGCTAGGATGGGGAAAATGTTCGTAAAAACTGTAAGCCTGTAAGCGGCGAAAATGGTCAGCTTTTGCAGAAGCACTTGTTTTATTCTGCTTGGCAGGTTGGAGAGAAATAATTACTATCATCAGAATTTCGTAGAAACATTTAGCTGGAAGGCATGTAATCTCTCTATAGAGACATGTATATGTATAATTATACATGTCCAATTTTAGCCTACTGCAGTGACTAGAAGTGTTTCAGAAAGAATTGTAGAACCGCCCTTACACCAAACTTAACTCACTTTCACGTGTGCATGTTTACAGGAAGTCTCCACACATAAGAAAGGCTACGATCCTGTACTCGTCCGGTTCTATGAAGAAAGCGGAATGACCGAGGCGAAGAAGGATTGTCCGTTGATACAAGAAGCAGCTAAGGAGAGCAGGAAAACAGTTGACCAAGTCATGGTATTATCAAACTTATTTCACGTCTTACATTCCTATTGACAAGATAGCTCTCTAAGGTCGACTACTACATGTATATAGTCGATATTAATTATGGGTGGTTAATAAAAATTGCTGTACATTTCCATAACTCCTCTTCCCCAATCCCCATCTACTATTGGTGGCAATATCAAACAGGATATCTTACATCGATCTAGGCCAACCCCTTTGTCTGTAGCACACACACAAACCGTCTATCCTTAGTCCCTGACCAGGTCTGACAGTATCTTAGGTCAGGTTCCAGTGTCGAGAATAGGAGGGGACATCCTCTGATTTGGTTGTATTGTGTTATCACCAGGTCTGGTCAAAAATGTCAAATATTATTTTCAGTGGTTCGATAGTGCCTGTTCCGCCATACCTGGACTTAACCTTTGACAACTATACCGTGTCTCATACAGAAATTTATTGACAAAAAATGCAGCGACTTTCGTAAGGTAGTCATTTATGTAGACATGCAGACAGATACGTGGGTACAACAAAATTGACCTACGTACAAGACAATAGATGAATCAACTTATTGTCCTTTCAGAACTTCATCGGTAACTACCGTAAGAGTAAAGGCGGCAGTAAGAGGAGACCGCCGCCAGACACGATGGAGAGGAAGAGGAGGATCACGGGATATCACGAGTACTACAGGGAACAGCTACCAAGGAAAAGGGGTGAGTTGAAACGGCAGTTATAATTGTTTACGAAAATGTTTAACTATTACAATAGCAACATTCAGTCGATCATTTTATTATCCTCTCGAATACTTCAGTTGTAGTAAATGGACCGGTAAAAGTTTATCTTCACATGGTGTCTCTCTATATGCATGTATATAATGACCAGACTCGTCAACTCTGCCCTGCTACAAAATGTAACCGAACGCCACATAGTGTCTGCTACAGCACTAGTTACCATGGTGACAGACGTCTGTTTCATGCCATTGATCTGATGTGTTTGGAGAAGAAAAAGACGAAACAGAGCATAAACAATATGTTTTCCTCTTAAGCATAATAATGCTTCCTGTGTCTATATTATGTCAATGAAGTTCACATAATAATTTCATGAATTCTCTTTTCAAATGTTTGCCAAGTTCACCAAAACGTATTTTTCTAGTATTTAACTAACTGCATGTTTTGTGACTGTCTTACCATAGCATACTGTAGGTACATTTTAGATACGGAGTTAGTATCGCTTACGAAAAATATTCGAAACATCAACTTTATGGACATCCACTGAAGTACCGTGTATTGTACTACGTAAACGGTATCTAACACTTCTTCATCTTGCATTTTCCTTCAGCCAACCAAGAATTCTCCCTTGCCGGTGCCAATAGGGAAATCGGTGAGAGCTGGAAGAACCTGACTGACGAGGAAAAGGAGGGATACAACAAAGCAGCAGAGAGGAGAAGGGGCAAAGAGACGAAAGTGAAAACTTGGTCCGAAGTGACGAAAAAGCTGAAACAGCTCGAAAAACTGGTGAGTGTAAGAATACGAACATGTTTCTGGACACTTGAAGGATTTTAAAGAGTAGTCATTCAAAGGAGTTACGTAAAATGCCATAGACATCCTTTGAGTCAAGTTGACAGATGCTTACGATCCATTCCTTTGTTATCCCTTATTTGTATCTGAAAAAGGTATTAGTATGTAGGTTCCACCCAGTAAACGCAGTATTTGTTGATATCATTAACTTCTCAACATATGTACATGGAAAATAGATTAAAATGTCAACAGAATGATGCATTCATCTACTAAAAGTTTGCCCAATATAGAAGAATTGCGTCCAAGCATTATCATTTGG